AAAAAGCTACGGGAAAGCCGCTGCCAGAACAAACGGAGCGATGCGTCGTTTGTTCACGTTTCTGGCGAGAGTAGATTATTCCTCCCAGTTTCACTTCGGAGTTGACAGAGCACCATTTCGTGATACAAATTTAACAAAACTGAATTCGGGGAATGTACTTTGAAGTCGGCAATTGTACTTTCCTCGGAAAGTACCAGAAAGAAATACTTTATGTAAAGTACAAGTACATACTCAGAGAATATACTTCGAATAAAGTACAAGTTTCCTAAGCCTACTTGAAGTAGTACTTTAAGTACAATGTACTTAAAGCACTCCCCAACACTGGTTTTTGCTAGCTATGTGATGACGGCGCAATGTACGATTTTAAACTTTAAATCAACCTTGATGGGTAGTTGAGAGCAGTCAACAGACACCCGCACTTTCAAATTATTACTTCAGCCGCAGAGGCAAATAGGTTCGGTGATATTTTCCAGCGATTGCGAACTCCTTTATTTGTTCAGAATAGTGCGCTGTGCTAAACGGACTCGCACGTCGCTGAGGTGGCTGGTATTATACACCTTTTCATGTTGCTGATGCTAACGCCGCTGGTGCGACTCTCGTGCCCCCTATCAGGTAAACGTTTTCTGACACTCTCTTGGACTGTGAAAAGCCGCTCAGCACGATTCTCTACCTATGTTTTACGGTTTTTTATTCGACGTTTTCTTGGCCCTCTTGAAAGGTTCCACCTCATTTTTTTTATGCGTCCATCGTACCCTTTTTGTGTCATCTTCCTCTGTGAAATAGGGCTGGTAAGTTCCTGCCATCCAAGCTTTTCTGCTCGACATTCACGGTCGCGTCGGACAGCCCTCGACGCGATTTTGCGAACAATGACAATTGTTCTTACCCCCCCCCCCCCCCCCCCCCTTTTCCAGAGATAATTCGCGTAAAATCCTCAGTTATCTCCAAAAATAGTTTTCCGGGTTGGGGTGGGAACGAGTCAGTCGCGTTCGTTCCTTTGCTTTGGTAATCCTGTTGTGCAAAAAGGAAGCTCTTCCCAAAACGTGCCCCAAAAACGAAGTCATCTTCGATTCCGTCCAAGCGTCAAGACGTTAGTGTCGTCGACTGTGACTGTGTTATTTGAGATCTTTCTCAAATAAATTATTTCTAGATAACGTGCCGTGTGGTGCGTACAAGAAATTGTCTGAATGTTAACACTTGCTAAACTTTATGTCCGTGTCCTGTCCATCGGTAAACACGTTATTTGCGAGCGTAAAAAACGCATGCCTTTCGGCTTTTTTTTGTTGTATTGTTGTAAATGATCCTGGACAGCTAAGTGCTTTGTCGTTTGACACGCGGCTAACGGGGCGGTGCCGTGAAAACTTATCGTAAAAAATAAAACGACAACATTCCAGTCGCATCCTTTAGCATTCCGTCTGCTTCCTCCTCCCCAGCCCGTCTTACACTCGCCCTACCTCTTGAGTTGGAAGGGATTATAGCAGCGTAGCCAGGAATTTTTTTAGGGGAGGGTGGGGGGGGGGGGGGGGGGGGTTAAAGGGTAACTGCAAAGTTTCACTGGGAATTTCAAAAATCAGTCAACATCACTTATAGATTCCTATAAATATTCTTACAGGCCAAAGTTTGGTAACACTGATTCGCCGCAAAGTGGGTAATACATTAATAGACCCATCTGAACAAGAAACCCCAATCGCAAGTCATAATACTTTCTTGCGAAGGTCTTGAAGTGTAATCCTTGGTCTGATAGCCCTTATTGGCAGCACTGAATATGAGACATCTGATTTTGTAATATAGGGCTCTATGGGGGCATTACTGCTTGTTCCCGACGTCTTACAAGAAGTTTGATAGTGCGATATGAATGTCGGTGAAGCTCACGCCACGAAAATAAGAAAAAGAAACACGCGCAAATATTTGTGTTTTTTAGACTGCCCGCTCGACTGCCAAATTATACTCGCCAGGCCGCCCACTAGAGAGCGTAGAAAATTTTGAATGTTTGGTTTGACGTCACATTCATTTTAACTTTCCTTAATAGATATTCTAAATTCAGACATATAAAATATCATGCTGGAAGAAGCAAAGCTTGCCTATATTCCACATATAACTTTAGTTTGGGTAGCTCAAAGAACCGCGGGAGCTTCCCTCTAAACCACCGAAATGGGCAGAATTTGACTTTCATTGTGGAGTTTTGCGGTTCGACAGGACACGGTGCGCATTAATAAACATGAACAGGGACTGGTTAAGCGCTGCTACGACCACTCAACCCCCCAGCCACAGACCTTCGTCCGGAAGACGAAATGACCTCAATGTTGTGAGTTCTGACTCACGCCGTTTTCGCTTTTCCTTCGCGGCTCACATAATATCCACTAATACCCCCGCTACACAGGCACACTTAAAGCTGAGTTAACCGCGGTTAAAGGGGCGATGCAACGATTTTTGTATTTTGCGCAAGTACCGCTTAGAACGGATTCCTAACGTTAATGACCTATGAAACACGCGTTCGTTTTTCCACCCCACGCAATGGAAGTCCCAGAAAAGAATTAAAGAAAAACGAGCAGCGTTCACCCCTCAACTCGCAGCCAGAGCAAGCCACCACGTGATCTGGAGCCGATTATATGCCGCCAGTGTTCATCATAGCCACGCGCTGGGGTTGGCAAAGCGCAGGACACGCGCTGAGTTCCAGACATTGTTAGGGTTTGGCTATTGTCGTCGTTGCCGCGATTGGACACGCGTCCCTACCCGATTGCTTCTCGAGCTAGCAATTATCACGAGCCCAAGTCGAGTGCCCACGCAATGCTCGGGTCCAATCTATGAACCGCATTCAAATATCGTCACTTGGGTGTACAGCGATCCCCGAGTTACGTCATCAGGTTTTGCGAAGGAGAGATTGAATGAAAACACTCGGTTTTGTCCTCGAAACCGAGACGTTTCTTGGTCAACGGCGTTGCGTGCGAGTATCCTTGGGTCCCACTAGCGTCATTAAACTCGTGTAAAGTGAAAAACAATCCAATTGAATATCGTTGCACCGCTCCTTGAAGCATACTGCTGGCAGCATACCGGCCGCTGGGTTCAACTCGAACGGTTAATCCTGAGTATTATGTGCACGTGTGTGTATTTGTGTCCAGGCATGCATGCGTTTGCGTGTTATGTGTGCGTGAGAGAGAGAGGGGGAGAGAGAGCTGGGGGAGACATGCAGCTTTATGCACTGCCAGTTATGGTGGCAATCGTGACGACCTCGGCAAAGTCGTCACCATTGCCACCATAGCCGGCTGTGCATAAAGCTATATGCCTCAGTTCTGTCTCCCCCTCCTCGGTGAACTTTTGCGTGGCGGTGCGTCGGCGGTAGCTCTCTCCCTTGGAAGGAGGTGCTCGTGCATGCCCTGCGAGTCGTCGTCAGCTTGTTGATGAGACGTTACCGTTATCGAAATAACGCAATTGCATGCCATCGAACTGTCACAGACGTCGTTAAAAGGGTCAGAAGCCTTCTGCTTCTCAAACCCTGGACTTCGCACAAGCAAAGGGAAAAATATGTACCGCACAAAACTCGACGCCTTGTAGCTCCGCTTTCCCGCAACCCGTTGGATTTTTTCTTTCTTTTTTCTTTTGTGCTATGATTTTTTTTTGCCAACATGGAGTTGGCTGCGAATGTCTTTGGTTGATTGCAAGGGTCTTTATCTTGCAGGTTTTCTGCTAATGAATGTATATAGCAAGTGTATAGCATGTCTAACGTGTATATAGCAAGTAAAAAAAAAAACCTCGCACGAAATGCACAAACACAGCAATGAATGACTAAAGCAAAAAAAATGAAACCTTTACAAATCTCTGTAATGCGAAACTAAAGCGCAGCTCTTGAGAAGGAGGAGGAGAGGGTACGAAGGGGAGGGTATATGCCCTCCTCCTCTCCTCCTCCTGCGCTCCGCTGACCAAAGGTACGCGGAGCGCACTTTCGGTCAGCGGGGATATGACGTCACGTTACACGAAGGAAAATGTGACGTCATTTTCCCCGCTAGTTTGAGCGGTGAAACTAAATTGGTGTTGAGGTCACGTGACGTAAATTTCGCCTCTAAATTGTGCGGGGAATCTTAAACCGCTAAATTTAGCGTGACATGACGTAACATGGCTTCGTGTCACGTCACCCATGAACAAATTCACTTCCGCCGCTAGATTTGGCGGGAAAATTAACGTCACGTGAGCTCAACACCAATTAAATTTCCCGCTAAATTTTGTGGGGCGGTTATTAACGCCACGAAATGCGGAAACGAGTGCCTAAGAGTAAAAAAAAAAAAGAAAAAAAAAAGGATACGTTAAAAGAGCTACCAGAGTTAGCAGAGCTACACTGTTTGTGTTTTCGTATTTTCACTTTTTTTCTGTATAGATATGTAACTATGTGCGACCAGTGAGAACGCGCTTGCATGAATATGTCAATGAAAAGGAAGCCAACAATTTTTATGAAAACGTAATGTCGCCACCTAGAAAATCCCCCCCCCCCCCCCCAAAAGAAAAAAAAAAAAAGAAGAAACTTAAAGCAGTATCCCTTTTTCGCTCATGTTGTATGCTGCTGGACTATCACTGCTCTCAATAGCGCCACATTTATAATAATAATTGCGTTGCGTGTATGTTTGCGTGTATGGCCTGAAGTATATGGTGTGCCTCAACGGGCGACTTGTCGCTCAGCTGTAGATGAGCAATTTAGCCAGTGCGGTACGACCGCCGCATTTATGTCAAGTACTGGTACAGTTAACTGCAATAAAGGTATATTAATGTTTTTGTGCTGCATGCCCTCTCCACCGCGTTTCGTCCCTCACTGCAGACGGACGCGTCTCGCGAGTTTTAATCGAAAAAAGGGCAAAAGGATAACACGTACTGTACGTCCTTTGTGGCTCGGTAGGGCTAAACACATACCGTTACCGACAGCTGCTTCCTGGGGCGGAAACCCCGATGACGCTCAGACCTGTACATCATAACCTGCGGTTCGCGAGGCAGCAGAGAGAGCCGAATCCTGCTCCAAGATGATGCGAATAGCGTCGTTCTACGACGGCCTGCTTCAGACCAATCCAACGGGTACGCGGATTGCGAGCATCGCCATCCTGAGCCTCGTCGCTGACCTACTCTCTCAGGCTGTGACCCGTGGTGCGTCCGTCAGCATCGACGTTCGACAAGCTGCTGGAAGCTCTGTCACCGGACTCATCTTCACGGGCCCCGTGCAAGTGCTGTCCTTCGTACTCCTGGACCGGCTCGTGGGAGACGGTGGCTTGACCGCTACGATCGCCAAAGTACTACTCAATCAGCTGTTCATCATTCCACTCATCATCCTGGGTTACATCGCCGTGAACGGCGCTCTGAAAGGGCTGCCGTGGGCCGCCATTCAGCACATCATCAGGACGAAGTACGTCTCGATACTCAAGACGAGGCTGGTCTTCTGGCCGGCGGCCCAGGGACTGATCTATCAATTCGTTCCCAAGGACTACCGCCCCCTGGCAATGAGCGTGATCGCCCTCTTCTGGAGCACCTACGTGTCCTGGAAGGCCAACGGCACCGCAGCTCCTTCCCAACTGTTGACGAAGGGCAGCGTCCAGAAGCAGCGCACACAATGAACATTTGCGGAAGGCGCTGCTCACTGGCGCCCGTAGCTGGCTGGGTTGGTTATCGCTAATTGCGTGCTGCCTGTGAGCGCGTCTTGCGACGTTTTGCAGCGTGCTTTCGACAAGAGCTATAGTCGTCCTTCTTTCTGTTTAGCTTTCATACTCTTGTAGCAAAGTCAATAGGCTCGTCGAAATCTTCATTAAAAGATGAAAGCTGAAGACCGCTAATAAAGTATGTGGAAAAACAAAAGCAGTTAAGTATCTTTTTTTGGGGGGCTATATGGGTTCCACGTTTAAGGACGTGGGATATCACAATGTTGCAGCTGGCCTACATTTTCCTATCACGAACACCGGAAAGTTTTTGTGCGATAAAACGTGCGCGAACGCTCTCGAAAGCCCTCGTTGTTTTTATCATTCAACCGAGGAAAACATTACCGGAAACATGGAAGTATACAAAAATATCTTTTCGCATCATTCCACGTTCCACATGCCGCATTTTTTCTCGATAAACCAAAAATCACAAAGAATTTTTTTTTTTTTTTTGCTTTAGGACGGAAAACATAACTGATTAAAAACGGTTCGGTTCGGTCCCGCGGTTCACTGAAAAAATCGCAATATTGTTTTTCTTTTGTTTCTGGTTCCACGTTATACGTTGGCATGCACCTTTCCTGCTGCCGTCGGGAAAATAATTGCTCGACGAAAGTTCAAATAGATAGAAAGATTTAACTTTTTTTGGGTACGTATAATTCAGATTAAGCTCCAGGAGCACGCAAAGACAGGATCTCCGAGTCCCGGAGACACTCCAAGAAATATAATCCGTTTTATTTTTTGAATGACTGTTAGCCACTTCGCCCTCCAAGTCTGTCAGTTTGACGTATGTGTTTATACAGCGTAAGGTCGGTCTACCTTTGAGCTGCGACGATACTTGTTTACGCTGTAGTTGATAAACTTAACCAGTGCAGTACAACCGCTAGCCTTGCATCTTTATCGTTCACCACGCAGAAGTGATACACGACAGCAGGCATGCATGATGCCCATCCAGATCGAAACGGTCAGGGACGGGGATTGAGCCCAGGACCCGCGGGACTCGCGTAATGCCGCAGATTAAATAACGCCCGCAATTTCATCTTCAATCTAAAAAGGGAATAGCCAAACTCAAACAATGAATAAAGCTCAGCACGTGCTTTGCCAACCGCAGCTGATGATTATGATGAACACTGACGATATACAAGTAGCAACAGATCACGTGGTCGCGTCTTCTAATCGCAAGTTGGGGAGGAGAAGACTGTTTCTTTCCCTTATATTTTGGGAAAATTAATGGGCGTTTTTTGCAAGTTATCAATATCAGGTATTAGTTCTTAGCGGTATTTAATAAAGGTACAAAAATTCTCGCACAACCTATTTTACATGTACACATCGTTGAGGCACCCATACATGTTTTCCTTTTTGTTGGACTGCCTCAGAAAATTGTCCCCGAGAATAAAGCGTGTACTCAGGAGGAATACCTGAAAAGTAAGATCCTCGTGGCCTCCGAGGGACAGCGGAATGTTGGCAGCCGTTCTGAGTCTCACAGGAGTGTCTTTCTTAACTTCGTCCCCAAGCTTTGACCACCTCCGTAGTTTGTTTAAACTTCGCAGTTTTTGGGGGCGAAATAAAAGCAAATGGGATTCCTGTGATCAAGTGACGCATATATAATTGCGAAATGAACACCTTCAAACGGAGGAGGGAGTCTCTCCGGAATAAAATATATATTTTATGAAATGAAAAAAAGAAAAAAAGGGGTGGGGGGTAGCTTTAAAAACGCTGTGTTGAAAATCGGTATTTATATGAGGAAGAAATCTCTGAGGTTTTTCTCCGGCGCGCGAATCACGCGTCGAAAACGACAGGCTTTTACGATGCGACGCTATGACGTCAACTACACGACGGAGGCGGGGGGAGGGGGGGGGGGGGGGAGGGCCGTACAAACTATCCTGTTTTGGCGGCGTGTCAGTTTGTTTTCCATAATATTTTGTCGATTAACTTTTGTGTGTGAAACGAAGAGCTCGCTAAATTCGCCTGAGGTGCTGTCAAGTGTGGAAACCGCTCAACTGGACTCGAAACGCTGACATCTCTCCCTCCGGCACCTCGTCGGAGTCAAGGACGAAGCTAAGGAGGAAGTCGCGCCCGCTGTCAACGTCACGCACATTCCTGCGCAGATTTCTCCCCCGTTTGAAGACTTCCCCGCATCTTCGGCAAAGATTAGAAAGCGTAACCCCGGAAACTCTTCGGTTTGCAAAGAGCACCCTTTCCAGAAACCGCGTTTCCTTGGTACCAGGCGCTTTCGTCGTTTTCAGGACGCTGCACCAAGCAAGAATAATTTGTGTTTGTCAAATGCATGCTTTCCATTGAGCATGCATTTTGCATGATTCATGCAGCGTGCATTTTACATCACCGGATTGGATTTTCTCAGCAAAAACAAATCGCAACGACCAACAGCATGTAGTGCAGTGACGTCACGAGGACAAAACTAGTTAAACAGTTCAGCTTCCTGGTGAAATGCAATGTTGGCAACACCAGAAAAAGTAGATGTCCAAATTGTAAAGTTCTGCAGTATACATGCAGAGTGTATTTTGTTATCGAATATAGGTCAATAAAAAAGGCTCGAGGTACACCTAAGCACGTTTTATGAGTTGTGAATGCAAGAGCACGAATGGCGCTCTTGCGTGCGTTCTCGTGAAGTGGCCGCACTCCGGAGTGCTCGAGCTCTCTGGGCGACCCCGCCAGCCAAACACTTCCTTTTCCCGGCGCGCTCTGGCGCGGCTTTATGTGGCGCGGGCACGTAGCGCCATGGGATGGCTCCGTTTAAAATTGACGCACCTCAGCTAATGGAAGTTTTTTTTTTTTTTGAAATTATGACGCGCGCCCGCCAATGGGAGATTCCATTGGCTGGATCCATGAGATTCCAGCTTCACTAGGAACGGTAAATTAGTTTGCCCATTGACTCGGTTTTTTGCGCGGCTTCAAAGCTGGGGAGCCTCAGATCGCGGCTTTACTTCGCTCTGTTGGGAGAGGGGAATTTACCTGCCGTTTGGCGCGGCTGATGACGTCGGCTCGCTCCATGAGGCAGTTAGTGCTTTCGCAATAAAACGGCGTGGAAGCTACACAAATACGGTCTGCGCAAGGGATTTATATGGCTAGGAGGACATCCTGTCCAAGAGAGAATGCAACCAATGAATACGTAATTAACAAAAATTCGCTAATTGCTTTTTCAAGTAGACATTTCACGGACGCATTTATAATGAAAAAATGGAGACAATCAATATAAGGCCAGCCCAGTTAAATCTTGGATGGAGCACGCAGTTCGAGTTACTCATTCTAAAAATGTGTTCTGGAAATCTGTCGATACGGGAACCAAACGCGCCATGTCCGTCGGAAGGAGAACCTTCGTTTGGCGCCGGAGGGTGACGTGGTAATGACGAAATTCGCATCACTGTTTTGCGTCACAGTGCGCCGGAGCTGGTTGGCTGTTGGCTGGCGAGCTAAAGCGATAAGCCACCTTATGGGCCGCGACAAGTTGCTTTGCATTTCTGTTGAAAAACGTTCTAGTCGTGGGCGCGAGTCAGGTAAAAAACAAACAAACAAAATCCTGAACATAAAATACTAACAAAATGTGAATGCTTCTACGCGCTGTGACGCAAAAGTAACGCAAAATTTTGTCATTAACACGTGACCCTCCGGCGACAAATGAGGGTTGTCTTCTTGGCGGGCATTGCGCGTTTGGTTTCGGTATATAAAAACAATATAAGATATATAATAACATATAAAGAACCATATAGGAACTAATAAGAAACTTCTCACAAGTTTCTTATATGGTTCTTATATGTTCTTAGATATCTTGAATGATCCATATGTGATTATTGGACACAAATGTTTCGTACAAACAAGATTTTTCAATAGGGTTAGTCAAAATATTTGTTATTTAAAATGTAATACTAATTCCAATGTCACAATAACGTCACGCGATATAGATCATTGACTGTGTTAGGATTACACGTGCGCAAAGTTACTTAACTATGGGAAAGTAAAATAAAGTACTGCGCAAATTTTTTTGTTAAATTTACGGATCTCAATCAAGGCAATCCGCGAGGTGAAGAAGCTGTTGCACATAGCTCAATGACGGGGATATTTCACGATTGTAAAATTATGATTAAAATTGTAAAAGTGCGCAACGCGAAAACGGCATACCAGCCTCCCATATTTTTTTAAACAATATCTCGCGAACACCGACCGACCGGTGAATCAGCACATTATCGCGGTGTAAAGCAGCAAGTCAGCGAGGCTAGGCGTGTGCCTTCTGCCACACGGGCGTAATCTCGCCGAGCTGCTATTTCACGCCACGATAAGGCGCTGGTCTACCGGCCGGCGGTGGTTCACGGGATATTGTTAAGAATCTACACTCTCAGAAAAAAAGGTGTATTACACCCCTTGTCCCATATAATACACCCCAAATCTTCAATTCGACCGTACAGCGCCCCATAATCGAACAGGCGACCCCAAAGTTTACGAGGGGCTTGAAAGCCGTGTGGTACAACTTATTAAGATAGCTGATGTACGTATTATTGACTACAACAAAAATTATCGGAGTTTTCTTGGCCGTACTGCAAAAGCTTCGTGTTTTCTTTCTTTGGTCTTTGATACGTACTTTAGCAATATAATAAGTTATATCGCACCGTTATCAAGGCCCTGGTAAAATTTTGTGCCAGCTGTTCGACTATAGGGCGCTGTACGTCGAAATGAAGTTTTGGGGTGTATTATATGGGACAAAAGGGTGTAAGGTGATACCCTTTTTTTTTTTAGAGTGTAGAGGCTCAACATGTTCCGTATTAGGAAATTAATGTAGCATGATCCGTACCTGTCATGTTTTCGGAATTCTTTGATTGCTCTCAGGTATCTCCGACTCCAGGCAATGATGTCACTGCCCCGGATGAGTGCCAGTCTTCGTTTCCGTTTCTCAAAAGCAATATCCAAAAGGT